TTCGCTGAACAATATTAAAGGAGTCTGAACTGAGCTTTTAGAGCTAAAAAGCCCTCGAAGTGTCCGCTTATTCCAGGTTTTGTGCAACAAAATGACTTAATATTGGTGTCCGCGTCCGCTTAACAGAGGTGTCCGCTGAATGCAGGTTATTTTACAGTAAATGTAGGAAGAAAATTTTGGGACTCAAGCTGGTGTCCACTTTTAAAATAGAGGGTGTCCGCTTTAACATGGGGTCCGCTTAATACAGGTTTCAGTGTATAGCGAAAAGTTATTTCGAGGTACAAAAAACGATTTTGGAGAGAGATTCACGCTTTTTCGTCGTCGTTTTATCGCAAGTGGATTTGATAACCGTGAAATATGTGATAAAATCTACCGATAAGGCTCCCTTGCTTGCGTGAGGTTTATTGTGAAATTTACATCGCGTAATGGTCTGAAAATATTACAAAATTAAATATAAATTGAGAGCAAATAACCACGTCTTCAGGCGATTTTCCTTTTCTGTAACACATCAAGGGTGGCTCTTTAAATATCTCTCTAGTGGTGGTGGTAGTTAAAAAACTCATTGCAAACTAGAGGTCTAAAAACGTTAGTTCCTTGTATCCGATATTTGTTTTCCGCTATTTTAATTGCATGAAATCTGTATCAGAGCAAAAGCTGCAAAAAGCTCTTTAAAAACATCTATACCCGTTCGATATCTGAAGGTCTTATCCTGCCCATTTGACGATGATGAATTAGTAGCTTTTACACTACAAAAACACATAGAGGAAAGGTTAACCAAGATTGCCAGCGGATAAATTTAAGGTATAAAGGTCGAAGTTCGATCGACCAAACAAAGGAAATTTCGTTATCAGAAGTGTAACAGCTCTCGTAAGCTTGTAATTCTCTTCATTGTTAGCAGCTGTTATTGTTTTAGGGCTAGGGGCATTGTTTCTGATGTTTGTTCTATTGTTCTCTCAAAGGGTAGCAAGCCATTCATGTGAGACCTTACGAGAGCTGCTACATCACCCATTTTGTTCAACGAATCGTCACTGTACAAACACCAATGTTCGTGTTCTTCCACTTGCGCTAGAGTCACCGGCCTTTGACCACATGTTGTGCAGAGCTGGGCGTAAGAAAACGCTCTATGTGTCTTGCAAACTTCTCAGATAGGCTACAGTGGAAGTGCGACGCAATCGGATATTGTGCACGTAGTGGTGTTTCTTTTAACTTGGCAATGCCTTTTTCCTGCACTACTCACATTTTGTTGCAACTCGAACCTGTGACGGCAATCGAATTGAGGGAAGAAGTTTGCAAGTTTCGCACGTGTAGCAGTCAACAGTCATTGCACATGAACTTAAACTTATTCCTGAAATCCCTCCCGCAAATATCGTGAGCATTGCATGACATTATTATACTAATCTAATTCAAGATTGCTGTGGTTGTTGCAGTATCAGAGGACGGCGAAACTCAACCTGATAATGACAGTAAAGGAAATTTCTTATCCAGAGGAAAAAGTTAAAGGCGAGTCACTGATTACAACAGAGTCACCTCTGAGTCAGCAGAGTCAGTGAACAGAAACATCAGGTCACAGACGACGATAAAGAATAATTATAAATATATCACAATCTGATGGCAGAGGAGAGTCCCGCAGAAGCTGCAGGAAATAGACCTGCTCTTGACATTCAAGCTGGTGTCGGAATATTTCGCATCAGAATTCAAATTGACAACCATTGGTTAGCAGCAGCATTCTTAGGCGCCGGCTTCCTAACGTTAAGAGCTTTTTATAATTCAAACCACGAGTCTGTTGAGACTGCAGTAAGAATTGCCTTGGCAGGTTTGGCGGATGAAGTCTTGTCTATACGACCGTCTTCTATTCTTGTCGATTTTGTTTGTTATACAAAAGAGAAGTATCAGGCATTTATGGATGCTTTTACGACAGGAACAGTAAAGCAAAGACTACAAGAGGAATTTTTTGAAATTGGATTCAAAGACAAGTTACAAGTGACCATTGTATACGACAACGCGCCTCAGATAAGGTAAGATATTCCGTTAACTAATAATGAACTGGAAAGCTAGTGACTTGAATTGTATCCCGTGTGAAATAGCGGGACCTATTTGAATGTAGCCAGTTTCTTGTAGCTAAGAGAAATTTAACTTGTCTATAAATTGTCTTCTCCTCTCTCGTCCGCCTGTGAATCGTCATTCCAGTCGATCCAGTGTCATCTAGTTGGAGAAAAACATTAGCTCGGGACAACCACGTAAAAATTCCCATTCACTATCTAAATCAGCTATGGTTGGTCTGATAGCGTAGTGGTCTACACCCGACCGGTATAATTAAGGTGAAGTGGGTTCGAATCCAGCTCAGGGCATAAAAAGTTTTTCTTCGAA